TGCTTACATCAGCGCACCCCCATCCCTCAAACCAACCCGTCTACTGTACCCCCAACCCGCGCCCACTTGTTGAAGCACCAAAGGATGGAATATAATCTAGTTGTAAGCTCGCTTATTGCTAAATCATATTAAAACAGTATTAACTATTAACAAGGACAAAGAAAATATATTTTTATAAGTGTTTATACTGGGTTTCTGAAGTTTCCATTTATTTTATCATTACATAACATTCAATACTGTTATGTTAATCTACATTTCAACGGAGGACAACTTTGAAACGCATTTTATGAAATTATCGAACCAAAAACTAACGAATAGTTAAACGTAGCTGGGAAACCGGTCATTAATGTAAATAGTTTTTGTTAGATTCACATAAAGCTTACTAATTATGTTTTCGCAGAGCTTATTTGAACACATAAACCAGTAAATTGGACAAAACTGATAGGCGCTCGTTTAATATTTTATCAGTTAGTGACTGCAGTTTACAGCAACATACCTAATTAATAGATGTAATTTGGAGCCGTTTTGTTATTTTATGAATATGTAATGATACGATTTTAATAGAGATATTTTTAATATGATAATAAATAACTTATGAAATAAGTTGAAAAAGCTGTACTCTACGTGATTAAATTTAAAGCTTTACGGTGAACACAAACACAATGATTGTCTCGTAGAATGCAGACAGAACTTAAAAAAAAAACATACGACTTGAGTACCTTCTTCTTTGGGAAGTCTGTCAACAAAAGGTGAATAAAATAAATTAAAGAAACACAACAAAATGGCGGATACAATTTTGTCAAAGTATCTCCATTCGCAATGAGTAAACATTTTATTTTATAGTCATATTCTTGTTCTTACTTTATACAAAAAGGATCAAACAATACGTAATAGCGTAAACAAATTGAACGAAAACATTATTTGACCCATTTCTCGTATTCTATTTTGGTTCGTAGATATTAGCCATGTTTAGTAAAGCGAGTGGACTATTTATAATTTAGTTGCTTTGAACGATCAATAAGGCAACAAGGTAACTTCATGATAAGTTAAGTTACCAGAGTTTAAATGAAAATGCTCATTATTATAAGACATTAAAAATAACCTAAAATACGAACTAATACAGGCTAATGAGGTTTTAGATAACACAGATTTATAAACTCTTAGACCACGACTTTATAAATCGAATAACGAGAGATCGTTGGACGAATTTAACTATAATTCATGTTTTTATTTTTATTTATTAAAAAACTGTTTCAACTACACTAAACACGTCTACTTTACCTGGGTAATATTTCACGTTTATCAGTCCTCGCAATTTCCTTAAAAAGGATTATTACTGTTGAAGTTACTGGCAACTAGCGACGTGGGACAAATTTAGAATAAAAAGTCGATTAAAAATAGAACGAATATCAGAGATTCGAATTGTTTTTCGAGACGGATGTCTTACTTTTCTATGTAAAAATGATTTCTTTTCCTAAAATGTATTACTTGTGAGAAATAAATTTTTTTTGCTAGTTTCCACAAAGTATTTCCATTGCCCACATGCGCATATACATTAACAATTACAACGTAGCTTACTACTTTCCTAAGTGTGTTAAGGCGAAATAAAGTAGGACGTATTCGAATTAATATATCTCTATTAAAATTTTATCCAAACAATATTTTTAAACTAAATGAAGCTTAAATAATTTCTTAATTAAGATGGTTACGTGCGCGACCTTGTCTATTTAAATTTCATAGACTTTCCCCTTCGACTAACGGCGTTTGAATTATTTATACGAGTAACTAACCAACCTGCATAAATATTCTTTTATTTATATTAACTACGTCTAATAAATGTCATATGTTAAGCATGTAGTTAATTCACGTAAATTAATCTATTTTTTTGTTATTTTAAAGACTTTTCTATTTAGATTTGATACCATAAAAAAGTTATTTATTATCTATGCAAATGAAATAAGAATATTTAAATGTTATGCTATAAGGGAACCAATGTGGTGGTGGTACATCATCAACCACGTCACAAACCTAGTCTAGATTTAACGAACTTTGATCTAGTCTAGATTTAGAGGGGACAGCTTTTATTAAATTTGTATTTGTAAAGCTGTACTTTTATATATTACATTTTTGGATTCTCTACCCAGCTCCAAGCACTGTCTTAGTTTTACTTTTTATTCAGATATTAGGAAAATCAAATTTCAAAATTACTAATATAATACTGCCCTTTTTAGAATATTATATACACTTGTGTTTTGCTTAACACTGATATCTTATTGAATTTCAAAATATTGAACGCAATGATCTTCAATTATGAGACAAACCAAGCGTTAACATGTAAACACAGGTAGGATTCTAAGAGAGTTAAGATCAAAAATATATAACTAGGATAAGATGACGTCCATTTTGTAAAAATGGTAACACAAATGTTGATATCATTTTGAATACCTAATGTTTGCACAAAAATATACAGACAAATCTAGTACCTTCTTTTGGGAAGTCGGTCAAAAATTCCACGTATCAAATTTACTTAAAAGTAAAGAAGTTTACAAGATACTCTATTTATGTTAGATCTCAAGCAACTTTAAATTTTAAATTAAAAACAAGATATATACACTGCATGTTAAATTAATATCAGTATTCATTTTATTCCTCGAGATTTTAAGGTATTTGTATTATCATATTTCATTGTGGTGTTTGAATGTCACTTCGGATGCTATATTTTTATCTAAATGAGGTTTATCTGCAAAATAAACTACAGACAAGTAATGCCAAGTTATGCACCCATTAAGTATTTATTAAGATTGTAGATAATTCAGTTTAATATATTGATTATTTGTAATTATTTTTAATTTGTTAAATCTATACTAATATTATAAAGAGGAAAGATTTGTATTTTAGTTTTTTATTTGTAATGAAATAACTCAAAAACTTCAGTGCCGATTTCAAAAATTCTTTCACCATTAAAAAGCTACATTATCAGTGAGTAACATAGGCTTTGTTTTTTCTTATTTTTTTTAATTGCACGCGGACATATACGCGAACAACAGATAGTTTACACTAAGCTTGTTTAATTACCAGAGAATGACATGAGTTTTACACATATAATGGTAAAATAAATTAATGTAATCGATGGCATATAAGGTTAATTTAATAGTAGTTCCATAATAAGGTCTGAATTATCTCTTTTCTAGTGATAATTACATTCAAACAAATTAAATTTGGTTAACACTGTAATATTTATTTTAATCTTGTAATTCATATTTTATAAAAAAACAAGTCTTAAGGGTAGTATGGAAGGCAAATTTTTTAAATACACATGTGTAATTTTGTGTAAATAATCTAATTTAACAATAAAAGCATTTTATTAATTTAAAAGTACCTATTATTATGATCTAAAGTTTTTCTAAATTAACTTATAATAAAAATATATCCCTTGAGCATAAGCATATCATTTAAAAACAAGCATTGCTTTATGAAAAACATCAAACTTAAGGGACATTTTTATTTTTAACTAAATTGTTTAAGTTATGCAACTTGAAAAAGTTATGATAAAAATAAACTTTATTAAAACATTAAATTAGTACTTCCTTCTTTTTTTAAGTTATAATTAAGTTTGCCTAAAAAAATTAAAGATGTAAGAAATCAGAATAAATTACCCATAAGCTGGTGATTATGTGGCAAAAGTATAATCAAAACATGATACCATATGGTAGACATAAATAACATTAACATTAAGAAGCGCAATCATATTTCAATTACTTAAAACCTTGAAAATTTTGTCGCGATCTAAAAATAGAGCATCCATACATCGTTATGTTAAGAATATTTTTTAGACTAACAAAAGATATCATTACATTACTAATTTAATCATACTTCTAAACAAGTAAATAATCAAATTTTCGTTTATTTAACATAATCTAAACATTTATCTTCAAGTTAATCAAGTTATAAAAAGTATTTTAAGTAAAGTTATAAAAAATTTAAACTCGCACTTACATGGGAAAATAGTTCTTCGGGAACGGCAATGCTTTTATTCGTCTCTAAATAATCATTCCAATCAAATTCCATTTCTAATACAAATTAAATTAACAATTTCCACATTAATAAATAAATAACTATTATAACTAAAATAACAAATAATAAAGAAAGGCCGAACTTGCTCCTTCGAATTTCAGTTCATTGAATGAAATTGAAATTCACCGACCTGCAGTTTCCTTCTCACTTGAGCACGAGTTAACAAGTAACATCTATCTGTCTCTTTACATTTCATATTAAATGTATATAGTTATCTCAGTTTTGTTATTTTATCAAAAATGAAAGGAATATAATTTCTTTAAACACATTCTAATTAAAAATATTTCATAAATTAAACCTAAACCTACTGATAAATGTGATATTAAGTCGCCTGTTTAATGTATGAAAAATATAATGTCTCTTTCATTTCAGTTCAATGGCTTTTTTCTATTATTATTTTGAAAATAATTATGTTCCAATACAATTTATTGTTAAAATAAAAAAATGTAAAATGCTTCTTAAGAGATTTTTGCGTTAAACGAAATATATTTTGTATTGTCATGTTGTTATTTGTCAAGAAATGAATGGAATGTGAACGAAATAACAAATCGTGTTTTTGTCATTGATTGCCATGAAGTCTCGATTTCGTTTATTCGTATACCCATTTCTAATTTCATAATTTATTTTTGAAACGTTTTAAACAATTGTGATCTGAAATTATAAACGATATAACAACTGGCTATCACTATTATTCATATTACATCGTTACATTCCATTTGATTGTTATTCGTATTGTTCCTGCAGTTATTCGAAGTTTGATGTTTTAATGACATTTTTTTAATGCTTATGTAAAAAATAATTTTCGTGTAATTTTAAAATAAAGTTTTGGTATGAATTAAGGAAATGTAAAAATTTTGGTATTTTGGTCAAGTCATAGAGAGCGTACATCACTAGTAGTTGATTTAGACAGGTGACGGGTGACGTTTTCAGTTTTGTGAATGGGTGAATGGAAACGATAAGTCACAAATAATTTACATTTGACTAATAACTTGATATAATACAGCTGTAATTGGATAAAAATTGTTTCAATTCTAGAGTTATCTGTTTATTGCGGTGAAAAAGTGTAGAAATAAACGTTTTATCGAAACGTGTTGTGCTTATGATCATCAGTGAACAGTTAAATATGTGATTGCTTTGTTTTTTCGTAATATCCGTCTCTTTTCAAGATCAACAATGAATACTGTAAACGGAATAATTTACACATTTACATCCAGCAACTCCTCGAATGCTGCCGATGAGGGATGTATGTTAGTGAATACATCCCAGAATGTTATTATTACCGGGGCTTACAACGGAATACCACAAACGTTAATTCTTAACGTGATATCATGGTCATGTCTAATCGCTTTGTTCACAATACTGCGACGTACGGCTTGGAACTACGGCCGTATGGCACTAGTTCAGCGTTCAAGAAATCGCTGGACTAATTTATTCTACCGCGGCGCCGATGGGGACTCGCTCGTCGAAAGGCGGCGTAGTCAGGACGAGGCTTCAAACATCGATGAAGGTTTCTTCGCTTGGTTGCCGGCCGTCTTCCGAGTAACACGCGAGCAGGTTCTTGCGAAATGCGGTCCAGACGCGGTCCACTACCTCTCGTTCCAGCGACATGCAATAACACTAATGTTTATTGTTACAATTGTCTCTATCGGAATCATATTGCCCATTAACTTTCAGGGGACAAACTTACAAGTCGATGCGAATACATTCAGTAGAACGACGTTGTCTAATTTGAATGGAAGATCCTTATGGCTTTGGGCACATACATTGATTAGTATTTGCTTTTTGCCAATTTCGGTGTTAATTATGAGAAGATGCACTGGACGGAAACCAGTCCCTACTTCTATGACTGGAACTGTTATGATAACAAATATATCAAGAGGTGATAGAAATGAGGCAACTATTAGAGCATATTTCACACACAACATCCCACATATTCAAATTGTTGACTTACGTCTGGCGTACAATATTAACAAGCTCAATGAAGTTCAAGAGAAGAAGGAAATGGTCACGGAAGCACTCCTCTATACTGATACATATTACAAAAAGACTGGAAAAAGAATAACTGTAAGGAAGGAACTATGTGGTCCTGATGTTGATGCATTGGAGTATTACACAAATGAAGAAAAGCGTCTCAAGGATGAAGCAAAAAGGTGCCAAGCTATGGTTCTTAATGATCCACTTGGGATTGCATTCCTCACTCTACCATCATACCAACTGGCTGAACATGTTATTAACAACTTTAATTTGCACCGTGGATGGGTGCTCACGCATGCTACGAATCCTTCGGACATCGTATGGGAGAATCTGAGCGTCCAACCAAGCGTCTGGTATGTTAAAGCTATTATTGTCAATGTTGCCCTCTTCATAGTTCTATTCTTCCTCACAACACCAGCTATTATAGTCAATCTATTCAACACATTGGTTGTTAAACCGGACTCTTTGAACAGAATTAGCAGTATAATATTTGAATTCCTTCCTACCCTGTTGCTGTGGACGATGGCTGCGGTGATGCCGGCGATTGTTGGCTTTACCGATAAGTTCCTCTCGCATTGGACCAAATCTCAACAGAATTACTCGATAATGACGAAAACTGTCTCGTTCTTGCTACTCATGACCTTGATATTACCTTCTCTAGGATTGGCCAGTGCGGAGGCTTTTGTCGCGTGGACTTTACACCACGAGAACGATACGATGCGATGGGATTGCGTATTTCTACCCGACAAGGGTGCCTTTTTCGTCAATTACGTCATCACCTCGGGCTTTATCGGTACTGCACTTGAATTGATTCGATTCCCTGAGCTGTTCTTGTACGTGTGGTATCTCTTGCAGTCAAAGTCGAAAGCTGAAAAGAGTTATGTTAAGAAAGCTATCCTCTACGAGTTTCCGTTCGGTGTGCATTATGCATGGAGTTTGGCGATTATATCCATAACCATTGTGTACAGTTTGGCTTGTCCCCTGATTTCTCCTTTTGGTCTGGTCTACCTGCTGTTGAAGCACATAGGGGATAAGCACAACTTGTACTTTGCTTATGGACCGAGTGACATGAGCGGTGTTGGGGGTGGGCGGATTCATGCAGCGGCCGTGAGAATGGTGCGAGTGTCTGTGTTGCTGTTACTCGTGAACATGGCGGCGTGGGCGGGCTTGCGATCGGGTTTCGAGGCACGCACTATAATCCTCATTATGGCGTCAATTGTCGCGTTCGGTACGTTCCTGCTGCTCAGTCCGTTCCCGAGCTGCACGCCGCCGGCGCCGCTGCAAGCGGAGACGAGCGTGCGTTTCCCGGAGTACGTGGCTCCCGTTCTATTGAAACCGGTCGATACCACTCCAGTGTCGACGCCCTCCACGCCCGATTATGGTACCAATTCGCCTGTCAGCAATCCCATATATAACCCCGACCCTATAAATATATAAATTTATAATTTAGCGACATTTATAAAGATACCATTCAAATATAATACCAAAATAATATTGACGGGATAAGACAATTAACAGCCACGTTGATATTGATTGGAAATGAGTATTATTGTGATGTATGTAAATAAAAATATAATATTTTTATATTAGTTATAATTTAGCCATTTAACTGTGCATTAGAAAATATCTCTACATCCTTATTACTTAATTCATTTTGTTATATTAATGAACAAAATTTCTATGTATGTGTTTTACTTATGTTTTTCATTTATATCTGTTAAAACAAGACTTTAAACAATTACTTTATATATATGACAAGATGTTTTATTACAAACAAAATAATAACCTTTTTTCAAAATAATACTGCAATGATACTGGCGAAATCATCGAAATACGATGGGGTCCAGTATTTATTAAAAGAAGAAAAAGATTGCATAATGAATATGTAATAAGAAATTAGCAGTTAATTTCGCAATAATAATAACTTAGTTAATTTTAATGAATTTTTATTTAACTATACCGTTTGTTTGATTCAAATTATTTGAATTAAAAATGTAAAGTTTGAAGTCTGCTTAAAAATCTACTTACGTTATAATGTTTACTGTTGCGAAAAATAAATTATTTTATCTTTTAAAATTACGTAGTACGGACAAATATTTTAACTTATTACAGAATTTTCACATTATATTGTTTTCTTTGTATTTTTTTTATTCAAACATTTGAGTTAAAATTGTTCATACGATTAGTCTGGGAATTTATTCAATGAATGCTTATTTGAAATATTTGTAGTTAATAACTTATTAGAAATTAGTTGTCTCTATGTAATTTATGCAAAATTTAACATTGTAGAATTTAAAAAATGCACGATAAATAATAATTGTTCAGATTATTTATTAAATAAAAAAAACAAGGCACTTTTTCATAAGTACGTTTGCCGTTTGTCTGTGATTTGTTGCTTAGATTTTTATTTTTTTATAACTTATGTACCTTATATTTTATAACGAATCGTTGTAATGTATTTTTTTGTGTATAAATATTGTATTGAATCATTGTTTGTCCTTTGCCTGTGTATATATTTACGGTCCAATTGGTTATCGCTGACTCGATGTACGTTTTATTTTGCGATAATTTTATCAAATAAATGACGTACGAATATAAATTGCCTTTAATTTTTAATTCTCCTAACCTTCCATCATGAAAGGACAGATAATAAAAGAGAAATTCTCATTTATAATATAAAAGCATCCTTATCCGAAGAAATCGAATGTAATTGCAAAATTAGTAATGTAACTCAACTGCGTGTTGTGTTAACGATTTCTTTTAATCGTGTTATTCGATAATTACTAATTACCGATTCACATTAACATTACACGAGTGTAACATTTACTAAATCAATAAAATTAGTTTAAAACATTTTGCATATCAGAATAAGCGACATGGTAAGCCGTAAGTACTGTATGTTTTCTTTATTCTGTTTTGAAAACTGTATAGAAGTGCTTTTATTAAAGAATTACACAAAATTAAAACGATTCCATAACGAATGCCAAAAGTATCGTACTAAATGGACGGAATAAGGTGACCATGACCGACTAACAGAGTTTCTATTCCGTAACTACCGTTCATTTGTTTTTGAGAGAAATTTCAAGTTGGTTAACATATATTACTTTCAAACTCTATGTTTTGAAACTTATTAAAATTAATTTGATGATTTTAACGCTTAGCCTGATAATTGATCTGAAGATATTTTTAATGTCTCTATGACGCGATATCTAAAAACTGGTTTCAACGCCTTCTAATAAGATTATCTTTTTGATTGCTATGGATCGGACAAATTAGCAAATGGATTAAATATGTTAAGAAATTGTAGGTAAAAAAAAATTTCGTTATGATTCAAAGAAATAAGCCAGAATTATAGATTTAATTTACAGCTTCAATCCGTAGAGTACCTATCGATTTTTATATTCGTACTAGTGTTAACTTCTAAGGATTATTACGATTTGCCTTTTTATCACGTAACGCTTTGTCTGTGCTCTGATGCAATGAAATTTACGCGGTTTGTTTGCCGCCTCCACCTTTCACTGCAAGCGAAATACTTATCGTGTAGGATAAAACGGGCAATGACTAAATACAGACACAAAAACTAGATAATATATCAAAAGGAAATAGCGATATTTTAAAGCATTTTATGTGGGGAAATGCTTATATCTGATTAAAAAAGTCGCAGTACTTATGATTATGAATTTTTATTTTAAAAAAGCCAGTGCTTAACCACGATGAACTTGTCGATGGTACGAATTAGCTGTAAATTATTTTTGACTCTACTCTTTAAGGCCTGTATGAGGAACGGAAATCTGACACCGGTAACTTGTATGTCTACTCTGATCCCCTTAGTATTCACCACATTATTTTCAACTAATGAAACACGATGTTGAGTAAAGTACGTAACAATAGACTGGAGAGGACTTTTTAGTTCGATTCAAAGGATAAGATAAACATATCTATACTAATATTATAAAGAGGAAAACTTTGTTTGTTTGTAACGAATAGGCTCAATAACTACTGGACCAATTTTAAAAAATGTATCACCGTTAGAAAGGTAATTTAGCTGTGATTAACATAGGTTATATTTTTTTCATTTTTTTATTATTATTTTTAAATTTCACGCGGACAAAGTCGCGGTCAAAATTAAGTTGATAAATAAGAACAATTTTGTTGTTAACATTTTGCCTAAACTATTACTACTATATGTATTTGCATCATCTATTTTAGGCTAAAATAGTCCTAATTGGTGATAATTAATTCCATTTTGTACAATCCTGAGACATAAGTAGCTACGCACACCTCTGGTAGCGTCATCCACGACCTTAAATGGCCGCTCAATGTCGTATCTGGTCGATGTAACGACATCTAATCTCTTTGTGCCTTATTTTACAAATTTAAACATAAACACGTTCAATATTTGTCTCAGATCTTCGTTATTTGTGTTGCATAACAGGGACAGAACGTTCAGCTTGCAGCGGCATTAGCAGTTACACGAAGGGGCTTACTCGATCGAGTAATCATCGTAGATTGTACAGAACTGCTCTTCGTCTGTCGTGTCTGATTCTAGCTTTTGTTACCCTACTTAAAAATTTACAAATTTCAAGATTTCATACTCATATCTCGTATAACTCTCCCACGTATCTCCTTTATCCTCATTTCCTTCTGCAATTGAAAAGGTTTCTTATATCTATGAAAAGAAAAGTGAATGGCCTTAAAATTGAACGAAATCGGACAAAGTTAGCAATTTATAGAACTGAGTCATTCTTTTTGTACAAGCTCATGAGTCATACTCTAAAGAACGAGACACACCGAACCGGGTAAAATACTTTAAATATTAGAACGACGATTTAGTTTTAATCCTTAGTAAATAATAAAGAGGAAAGATTTGTATTTTTAGATTTTTTATGTATTGTAATAATTCGAAAACTACTGAGGCGATTTAAAAAATTCTTTCACCGTTAGAAAGGTAATTATCTGTGAGTAACATAGGTTATGTACTTTTTATTATTTTTTTTTTAATTTCACGGGGACGAAGTAGCGAGCAACAGCTAGTTATTAATAAACTAGAAATGTAGAATAACAACTAGGGGGACTTATCCTTACCTTTAAAAAAACTTATTTTTATTCGATGTTAAAAACTGAGATGTTTTTGTTTAGTTGTTGGATATTTTGCGCGTAGATATGGTAGCGTGCTGTGATGCAAATTCTGCAAGACCATGCTGTAACCTTTTTACGTCATTTCTAAGTATCCGTGTATATTTATAAAGAAACTAGCTTTCGCCCGCGACTCCGTTCCCGCGGAATTGAAAAAAACAAATACAAGTAGCCTATGTGTTCTTCCAAACTATCCTTTACATGTATGCCAAATTTCATCAAAATCCGTTCAGCCGTTTAGGCTACAAACTCTTTCAAACATCCATCCATCCATCTAAACTTTCGCATTTATAATATTAGTATGAAGTATGTATGATAGTATGATGTCTTTTTAAGTTCTGTTAAATACAGTTTCGTTATTGTTGGTGTGTTATTGGGTACTATTTCTATTCGGTAGTGCAACTATTTAAGAAGAAGGATAGGTAACCAATTTTATTATTTGTTAAAACTATAATGTCCTTAATGAATATGGACATAAACTTGATATTCAAGACGTCAGTATTAACTCGTTTCGATGTTATGTTACGCGTTGAATTTTATTTCTCATGGAAAGCATTAATTTTGTTTAATGAATTCCATTTTATCTAAATCTTGGAAATAAATTAGATTATCGTAGCAAAGATAAGGCGAAACAGTGTGCGAAATCATTTTATATACAGCCACGTTTATGAATTTTAAAAGTCGTTTTGTTATCAAATACAAATGAACGGAAATTGAAAACTAACGATCGTATTAAAAATCTGCCTGAAAGTAATGTGTTAAAATCAATCTTCTTTTGGAAGCCGTTTATTTTGTAGCAAATTCTACAATAAATTACTTGTATTTTGTCATTGTCTGTCCTCTATTTAATGTGTAATATATATAACAATATACATAAAGAACCGTATGAATAAATAACACCGCATGACGCGTATAGCAGTAAGAGACGAGTGCAAATGTAAACATGGAGCTTGCTGTACTGAGAACACTTCTTTATCGTAACACGGTACATTAGGTATTGTGTCCAGGTGTTAAATATTTCTACGTTACATGTTTTGAAAATAAATGCAGTAACAGGAATGATAGAGGAATTTCGGCTTCGAGTGCTTGCTGTAGCGTAACTGGCAAATGGTATATTCAAGACCGGCGATTAGGGAATGGTCCGCCCACGGTGGTAGACAGGGGATCACAGATCTGCGAATTACACAGTTAATGGTGTCGATACAGTACTGGGTACACTAAAATAAAATAGCTTTTAATCTTATCACCACTACAACACAACACCCACTACATATCAGACTTCAAAGAAGGTTGTCATTCTTTACTTTTAATAATAGTGATTGCATTTTCAATCATTTTTAATATCAAGTATACTCTAATGAATTCATTACCGCGATGTAAGTTATTACGTAGTGTATGCAGGATACGTATCGTGTTTTCCATTTAAATATTATAGCGCAATAAACGCCCCTGCATATCATATTGTTTATAAATATTTATATGAACAACTCCAACTTTGTGTGAATGCTAATAATCATAACGATTGTAATATAATCTTTTGGCAACTTTACACGAATATGTAATTTAGAGCGCCTGCGAAAAAATATCAGTAATGTTTACCTATCGTCGCTAGATGGCGCTTTAATAAACAGCCACGAAGATAATGTGAATGCACTAGTAGTTTAATTTTTTTATTTTATTCAACTTAAATTTACCCCTTTGCTTATTTTATAACTGTGACTTTAGCAGTTTTGGAGTTAAAGTAGGAAAAGGTACTATTGTTTTTACACAAAAAATTTATTACAAATCACTTAATTCTTTTATTGTTCATTAAATTATTTTACAACAAAGACACAGTACAACAACTGTAATTAATCACTACTAATGTTATGGAAAATTGCAATTCAATTAAAAACAAAATCCATAAACATCCTGGCTGACTATAAAAGAGTATTTTCTATAACACACACTAAAAAAATAAATTAGTTTTTTTTAATAGATAAAGGCCATTTCATATTCCACAATCCACAACATTAGCAGTCATTACCTACACTATTCTTATGGTAATAATTAGTGTGTTTTCTTAGGTTTGGCGAGTTTTTCATATTTGCTCTTTGAGGAGAACCATAGACCAAATGGGATGGCCAGAGATGGCAAAGTCATTACAGCGAATGCAGCCCAGTCCAGAATGTGCGAGGAGAACTTGCGGTCGTAATCTTTGAATGCAACAATAGCACCCTCTCCTGGGGAACTGCTGATTGAGTATTGCACCTAAAATACATACAAAATAATCATGAATACATCATTTTTTTTTTCTTGTATTAATTTTCCTTAACTGTGTTATGAAAGAATTTTTGTTAAATCGCTATTTTCTAAATAAATTTAGTAATTTTCTAATTACAATGTAAAAACTTTATTTATAGTGGATTGTATATGCTATTTAAATAGAAAAAAGTTAATGAATTATGTGGTTATTTTTCTTGTATTTTAAGGAATGTAATGTACCACATTCTTACTGTAAGTTGTTATTTATTAAGTGTAAAGATTTTTAGTTTAACCATATTATTAATATGGTTATATACTGCATAGCATTAAATGAGACATTACTATAACATTAGTTCAATATCAGTAGTATCAAAATGGCTTTTTATAAGTATAAATATAAACACTAGCTGTTGCCCGCTACTCCATCCAGTTGGAATTAAAAAAACAAAACTAAGAAGCCTATGTGTTCTTCCAAACTATCCTGTGTCTATGCCAAATTTCATTGAGATCTGTTCACTGATTAAGGCTACAAACTTGAACAAACATTCATTTAAACTTTCTCTTTTTATAAGTAAGAAAAAAAATATACAGACAAATTGAGTACCTATTTCTTTTGGGAAGTCAGTCAATTAGAAAATTATAATAAAATGTTTTAAATGTCTACAAGCAAGTAATAAATTGGTAGCTAGTAAATAGGCCAAACATCTTAATAAAAGTGATAGGTATCATTAATTGTGTATAATCTATCTGTACTTACATCAGTGGATTCTTCACTGGCTCTATATGTAACTTCAGCAGCAGTGAAGTTGAAGTAACCAAATCTGGTTGACCTGACAGTCACAACATGTGATACATTGGTCTGCGGAGGTATCCTGTCAATTTCAGCAGTGAGCTGCCCTCCAACAACCTCGAATACGTCGGGATGGAAACCAGTGTCAATCAGCTTCACTTCCACTGCGGGTGCTGTACCTACGTTGTATAGTGTGTACTTCACAAGAATGTCCATATTTTCAACTAAATATTTATTTAAAACTTGTTTGGAGACAAGTAATCTTGCGACTGGGGCTTCTTCATCCGCGGTTACAGCCGCAGCAATTATTAGAATCAGTGATAATAATTTCGCAGCCATTGTATCTGAAAAATATAATTATCCTACTTAAATAGTGTACTGATATTATTTTAGTTTATTGAATGAAAATAGTTGGTAATTCGATTATTAACCGTGCAAAAAGCTTGGTAGTTAAATTATGTAATAAATTTTAAGCAAATATTAACATCTTACCTTCTAGTTTCTTATTTACTACGAGAAATAAAAAGCAACTTGCCGTCGAAAAGTGAAATGTTACGTTGAAAGGAATTCGGACGTGGCTGACGTTTCACTCCACGCGTCAAATTGTGCGACACTGGGTTGCCAGTCATTATTCTAACGATTCAAATGCATTTGCACGATTTTTGTTAATTTCCTTAATTCTTATATAATAGAAAAATACTAGTTGACATAGAATTCTCATAATTACTCATAACTATTGTTAGCAAATCACTTATTGTATATTTGGTAATTGTGCTGTTGAACTTTTACATTAAAACTGCCAGTAATTGTAAGAGAAGATTCGGAACGTATTTATCACGACTTCGATCGACACTGTTTGACATTTATTGAAATTTTGATTTGATAATTAAATATGTCGAGTATGGATGCTGATAATTTGTGAATTAGCAAATGATTGCATTGAAAGTGGTCAGTGTTCAGAAAAGTAAAATATAATTTTTCATTACCCAAACTATGACAGATAAAGAAGATGCTACCCAAAAACCCGAAAATCAACCACTAGACGACGAAGCTCTAGAAAAGTATGTCTATTTTATTACTTGAGATTAGTAAATTGTTTAATATTGCACGAAAATATTTTACATAATGTCCATTAGGATAACAGCGTGAGAAGAAATTTTATGTATACAGGTTTATATTTTTTTTTGTATTTCAGACTCGCCGTAGAAGAATTACTTCGGGAGGCGGTCCAAGGAGCTGCTCGGGCGGAAATAGTGGGACCTTCTGGATGGGTAAAGAGCGCACCACAAAAGTCCAATAAACGTTTCCTTGTTAACACCCTGAGGCATACCGTCAGCTCAAATAAATACTATAGTTCACGCAGCAGCCACAGAAGTTCCTATAGATCATACAGTAAATCACCAAAAAGAGATCACAGATCAGAAACTTCTATTAAGAAAGAAAAATATAGAAAAAAATATTAAAATGGCTGAAACTGATGTAAACGAAATTTTGCGTACACGCATAATTGATGTTGATGAATCGAAATGGAAACCTTCCGACAAGATTCCTCTCATAAATAAAGAAATAGAACAAGCCAAAGCAGAAATGAAAACATTCCTACAGAACAGTGATTTTGATATTGAAACAATGTTACATGAAGGTAAAGAACTCATTATTGAAAGCAAAACTCTTATTTTGGAAATGGAAAGATGTAAAAACCAGATAGAAGAGGAAACTCTCAAAGAGATTTTGGATTCAATGGAAAACCATGACATTATTGGCAAAGAACTAAAATCAGTCAATTTTTGTTTAAACATACTGAATGATGTCCTGCAAATAGGAAATTTTATCAAAGCGTTTGATGTCGGTACAGAATTCCAGAGTTATCTCAAAGCTGTGGAAGCTGTGTTTGATCTGTTGAGGTACATTGAAAAGCCGGCAGAAGGTGTGCAAGATCTGCATCTGTTTGACAGTACAAAAGTAACAGCCCAATTGACTTATAAAAATTTAATTTTCGACATGTGTAAGGAATGGGACAGAATGGTTGCATGTACTAGTGATCATGGTCCTGAATCAACTGTAATTAAAATGAACCTTACATTGGATAAAACCACATCCACTTTGGATGTTTTGAAAGCATTAGATAAATGTGGTACACTGGTAGATAAAATAGCACTGTTTGCACATTTTATTCTACGGGAATTAATATTACCCATAATTCGTAATGATTGTACTGTTTTTGCTGAAACAAGTGAATTGATGACGGTAACAATAGTATATAGAGATAATTACAAGCCACCGTATGACGAGGTTATTACAAACTTACGGTTGCTATTTCATTATCTAAGTGACAGATTGAATATTTCTTTCACTAATTTAAACACACCTATTATAACTATGATAGGCAGATTAGTATGTGAGGAATTTAGAGATGTTCTAGTCAACGACTGTCTTCTTGATACTATACCAAATAATATTGTCCAACTACGAAAATATGACAAGGTTACTAGGGTTGTAGAGGATTTTCAGAATTTCTTACATGCAGCGAAATTTTTCCATGATGAAAATTTCACAATATTGAACTATTTGCAAAATATTGATGAGCTATTTGCTGCTAAGGCGAGCCAACACTTCTTAGTATCGGCTAGGTCACTTATGTTTAATGATTTAAGTGAATCAATATTGATAGGAGTAGAGAATATTCCGGAGGATCCCAAAGATGATGAAAAGTGCGATGATGAGATGATTGAGCAAGGACTAGAGGTGTTTCATCAAACGATTCCAAGAAGCCTGTTCTTTTTCCCACGGTGCATGATATCGAGAGCAGCTCAGGAGTTACTGGATCTGGTGTATGTTGGGATGGAACAGGCTTCACAGTGCTCGTACATCGTCAGTAAGAAGCTGTACTACACTGCTCGGTTGATATTTGAACTTTATGATGCAGTTGTTCCATACCACCATGAAAATTTCCTTCAGACTATCCCACAGTATGCTGGTAAGTTTATACTAATAATATACTTATTTTAAATGTTATATTTTAAGGATGGTCCCAGTGGTAGAGAAGGTCAAGAGTATAGCATGGTATGGGTATATTATAAGAAGGGATGAATTTCATGTGACAAGGAGTTATGGATGTGTGAAATATCACATATAATTTCATATTAGAATTTTTAAATTATGGTTGTATATTAAGCTAGGTAGCAAAGAAGTAAGATTGAATTGAATGGAATGTAAACAATAAAAAAAGATTTTATAACTTTATGCAGATGAAGCTGCATGGAAACAGTTAGTTTACAATCAAATGTGAACTTTGTTTTAGCATTGTTCCACAACAACTGCATGTTTTTGGCGCACCACATGCTGACGTTCGGCGACAGATGGCATTCCTTGATGCAGGGCCGCGATTTGGACTACGCGGTGGGGTTCGTCGACCTGGTGCCGAAGCTGCGCGAGCTCGGCTGCCGACACCTCGCCGCGCATATGCAGCAGCAGAGGAAACAGATACTCGATAATATACGCACTTCCGGTAACATTACCATTAACCAGATAATCTTATATGTTCAACAGTAAATTAAAAATGCAAATTATTTAACTAACTACCCTTAGTAATTTAACTTAGTGGTCGCTACCAGTGGGTAGACTTAAAATTGGAGCTTTTGTTTCTACTTATTTTCATTTATTATATTTTATATTATAGCTTCCCTACATGTTAAGATTTTTTATATAAAAAATATATGGTTATGACTAAAACCTAAACATGCCAATTGAGTGTTATATTCAACTCATATTGGACGATCAATAAAATAGAAAGGGATATGTGGATATGGAGGAGTAGGGAGAGGGGGACATAAGAAGGGGAGATATCCTCTTTGTCAACAAATGCCGGTTCTTGTCAACTTGTAAAAGATATTGCGAAATTTGGATCTATATAAGAATTTTTTATTACAAAAAATTAATCACTTCATTGTCTCTATTGACGTGACATGTGTATTTGTTGATTTTTTTTAAATCAGCATTTCATGTTTACAGATCTGAACTGCATTGTTGTGAAAGACGTTCTCGGCGATAACGCGGAAGCGGCTGTTAGACAATGCCTCAGACAATTGCAGCTACTTAAAAATGTTTGGATTGGAGTGTTGCCTAGAAACGTCTTCATCAGGTAACAACATATCTAGAGTCTTTGTTGTGATTTTATACTAATAACATTAAATTTTAATTGGTCTCATGTTTTAGGTTGATGGCAACACTGATTAATATGTTTATCGATGAGCTGATTCACCGTGTGTGCACTGTCGAGGACATCTCCATGGAAATGGCGACGCAGCTAAATGAAATGTACAGCCTTGTTGTGCAGAAAGTACCTCAATTATTCCCGGTAAGGCTAATTGAAATCAATATACAATTCTAAGAAAAAAAAATAATCAGAACACAAAATATTATTCTACTATATCTTATTTCCAGGATGGGACAGACGTAAACACTTATGTCAAGTCGTGGATAAAACTCCAAGAGCTGGTGTTCGTTTTGGGCGGATCTCTTAGAGATATAGACGTGCATTGGGACGACGGCTCTGGACCACTCGCCAAGCACTTTACTACCGACGAACTTCGAAGTCTCATTAAAGCGCTGTTTCAAAATACACAAATTCGCGCTAATTTACTGTCTAAAATTAAGTAATTTCATTCTTTCATGATTATATTCATTGTATCTGATATTATACGATAATAAATGGCCTTCATGTTTTATTTCTTACCCTATAAAACCCTTTACTCCTTATCCCAAAATTTTTAATTTTGTTGGATAAGATAATTCATGTTTTGTTTTAAATGTTCAACTAAACATCCTATTACATTTATGTTATAACATGGGATTGAGCTTGAATAACAACACGGCAATCCATTAACCAGTAGTTGAAATCTTCTGATAATGGTTTTTCTTAAATGTCTTGTTTTTTATTTTTTTTTAAAAAAGAAAGATATGACCAACCCGCACTGGACCAGCATGGTAAACTATGGCTTAGTCACCTCCTTATAGGGGTAGGCTCTGAGCCCCTCAATCGGGACGTATAGTGAGCTGGTGATGATGAGTTCAGTTTCTTGTCTATGGCACTCCCTTAGCGGATTGGGCCAGCTGGTGATGATGATGATGATGAAAGATATGAGATATTTAATCTTTGGACGTAACAAAATGTGTCATATTGTACACTCTTTGTGCGTCATGTACATCTGTCATTGTCAAATTATTTTTTAAATTCAAAATGTTCAATCAAAACATAACCTTACATTTAATTAAAACTTATTAAAATCTGTTTTAAAAACCCGGTGATTTTTGTTACAAATGGGAATTGAATAAAACAAATATGAGAAGCGTTAAAACTTTCTTCGGACTAAACAGGACTAACCTGATACTCCGTCGCAATGTTACAACGAAAAAGAAAATACCGATTCCAGATGAAGAAGAACAATTACCAAGTAATTATCTCAATTATTATACAATACAAAATATACATTTGCTCAAATGTAACAGATTTAACTATAAATAATCTTAATTTTTCTATTATTATATAATTTTTAGTATTCCAATACCCAATCAGTAAAAGCTCGGATCGTCGGGTGTATGTATGGGGGATGGCAGAGACAGGCGCTCTCGGCATCCACATGCCAGGTAGAGGCAAAAGAAGCAGGAAGTCTTACAGAAATGATTTCTCTCTTGTATGGTATCCCATGAGATCTAGTTTTTGTGAAAGATTTGATGTAAGTAGTTTACTTTGTCACTCATTAACAATATTTAATCAAACACAGAGCTTATGAGGAGTATAAAACACATGACCCCACAAACATCGGGAGGCAGAACCCCAAAAATTTCTTGTACAACTGATTTAACAATAAAATGTTACTGTTATTATTTTATTATACTTAACAAATGCAACAAATTAGTTTGTGTATGTGTTTGCAGGCAACATTTTATCAGTTTAAATTTGCCAATTTTAAAAAGAATTAAATAATTGGTGTACATTTCAGGTTACACAAATAGCTTGTGGGTATGGCTTCACAGTAGCTGCTGTAAAAACAAATGAACAACACAAGCTGTTCGGTACCGGTATTAACACAGACTCACAGATTGGATATCATGCACCGAGAATGGGTCACCCTTTAGAGCTGTTGGTCAGCCCTGCCCCCATTTATATCCCATATAAATCATTAGAAAGTAAGGTAAAATCTTTTAATTACATCTTTTGAATTGTTGTTCTTTAATAGACGTTATAATTTTTTTGTGTTTTTACAATATTGTTAAATGTGTATTTTCAATCTTAATAGTTTCATATTAACTTATAATTAATCACTGAAATTAGTAAACTGTACATAATTTTACTAATAATAGTTATTTAGTAACTAATTTTTATCCATAAAATGTTATTAAAGCACTCTTTTTATTGTACAAAACTATTTTATATTTATAGATAGTGGATTTAGCAGCTGGAAGAGCTCATACAGTAATACTAACAGACAATGAAGGTGTGTACACACTGGGTAATAATGCTTATGGTCAATGCGGAAGGAAGATTAACCCAAAAGAAGAATACAGAGGGAGTATGGTGTCACATAATATTCAAAAACTGGGACAGGAAAAAATTGTTAATGTGTGCTGTGGACAAGATCACACGTAAGGAGAACATTAAAGCAATTTACATTATTTATTTATATACAATGCTTTTAAATATTCCTAAACCATATATTTTTTACATACCTTAACATTTCTGTACTTAAAATATTTTTTAAACTCTTAAATACACATCAAACCATATCTGATTCAGGCTGATATAATTTTAATCAAATGTCACTGATTTTTACAAAATAAAGTAAATGGAATATGTAATGTTTGTAACTTTCAGCTTATTTATGACAGAATCAGGTAAAGTTTACTCTTGTGGATGGGGTGCAGACGGCCAGACAGGACTCGGCACCTTTAATAACCAGGCTATTCCCGCTCTAGTAAAAGGTGATATCACGACTGAGAGGATTGTTAAAGTGGCATCTAGTGTTGATTGCGTGCTGGCACTTAATGGTAAGATTGTTATTTTATTATTATTATTTTGGGTGACACACTAGCAGCTAGTTAGCTGATGCGTGTGTGTTGTATAGCTCGGAGATTTTAATTGTGTTGCATTTTTCTTTGTAAATTTGAAACAAACTAATGTGTTAAATATTTTTAGCATGAACCTGGAAATATATTTACTTCCAGAAGAGCAATAACCATATTAGGCTTAAGATGTGGAGTTTGACCCTTAAAAAATACTTTATCAGTTATATCTTTCAGATAGAGGTGAGCTTTTTGGTTGGGGTAATTCTGAATATGGACAAGTGCCAATGCCTACAAAATGTGATCAAGTGAATATGTCACATGCTTTAGTGCAGTTTACGAAGGGTCTTGGCAAGATAGTAGATATCGCCGCGGGAGGTTCATTTTGTCTCATAGTTAATGGTGAGTGAAATATACTAATACTTTATTTTATGTAAACATTACAATACAATTGAGATGTCTTCTTAATTCGCAATGTTATTTATGTAGTTCAGTTTTCATGGAATTTTATAAGCAATTAAAAAACATGTAATAAAGCAGAGTTCGAATCTCACTCATTGTTCGTTGTTTTGTTTACTAAATATTTTTCGATGTTTTTGAGTAAATCCTACTAAATTTGCAGTCGGGATTTTTGTTTTAAAAATTAAGGTTAATTATTTCACAGAGCAAGGTGATGTGTTTGTTTGGGGATTCGGTTTGCTGGGCTTGGGACCGAATGTTCAGCATTCTGTTACACCTAAACAGATACCTCCAGCACTATTTGGAAGGAACGAGTTTAACCCGCAAAGTGTGGTAGAGATTGTTGCGTGTGGCATTGGACATTTAGCCGCTATCACAAATAATGGAGATCTATACACATGGGGCAGGAATAGACATGGCTGTTTAGGTTTAGGACACACTAAGGACCAACACTTTCCATTAAAAGTATCAATTGGGGCTCATGTGATGCAAGTCAAGTGCAGTGTTGACCACACGGTTGCTATGTGCAAGCCATTTGTTTAGACAAAAATTTAGCTTAAATCTATAAATCTTATTAGAAATAAAATTATTATTTACAATTAACATGTTTGTTTTATTTTTACATATTATTATATTACTTTAAAATTATTTATTATCTCTTAAAATGACAAATGTATTTCTGTCTAATACTAATTTAATGAAAATGTTTAGCCAGCATTTAATATACAATTGGATAGATGAATCTATTGCTATAATTAATTACAATAATAATAATATTAAACTACAATACTTAAACTACCACTTATTTGTTGAAGTCATATTTTCAACACTTCCAATGTTTTTACCACATTCACTATCAATATAGTCTTCAATTGTTAATATTGAACAGGAAACCAGCAACATTAAAATTGTTAAAGCTTTCCTGTTCAATACCACATTAACTATTGTTTGCATTCATCATGGAACGGTTCAAGGGTGCGGAAGTCACGCCATGCAGGTGGCAGCAGTGATGTGTGATGAAGGTGGCAGCCACATCTCTTGCATGGTTCACTAAATAAATTCACATAACTATGCAACCATGTCATAAATGATCGCACCGCTAACTCCGGCATAGTTGGAGAGTAGAAATGAAGCATAGCCGCATGGGCACTGTCAGTCACCTTTCTGAAGACATGATGCCTGGATTCAGTCCAGAGGTCTAAGGTTTCACCATATCCTTTAACCATCACCCATTCCATTAGCAATCCCTTAAAAGCAACTACCGCTTTTAAAACATGGCTTAAATTGATAGAAACAACAGCATTACTTGCAAATGGTCGTGATATTGTTATTTTCATATCATTATAAGATCTGTCGATGTTATTTATGACGTTATCTACTTGTAGCGGTGCCACATTGTGGTTACTCTGAAGTTTACCGCGACGCTTCGTGCCGCCCGAATTTATGTACGATCGTTTCAATGAATTCTGACTTAATAATGTATGAGCAAATGAACTGTATTCGTGGATCTTATCTGTCCATTTGTAACTGTTTACAAGTTGAGTATACAATGCTTGACGATCTTGAGTCGTTTCTTGACTTAAATATGTTGTATTGCCGAGGTTAAATGGTACGGGAATAGGCAGACTGTTGACTGTCTGTTCCAGGTCCCGGAGATTGTTGCTTACGATGTTAAGAAGTTCCTGCAACTCAATGAGAAATTTATCTTTGCCATCTTCACCGTGATCGGCTCGCAGTCCATTAGAAAGAGTTTCGAAAACAAGGCTCACACTCGAACGGACCGTTCGAAGTGAGGTTAATGCAGAGTTCAGTTGTTCTACGTTGATTGCTTGATTCATTTTGTGTTTTTTTTTTTATCTCATAACAGTGTGTATAATAGTAATTATGATATTGAAACAAAATCGCAGTTTCTTAATTAGTTTGTCATCGAAAACTGACAATTTGACGTTTTAAGAGTTTGATGTTGACAAGTTGATAAATGTCAGTGTTGCTAATTCTAAAATCGTAAAATGTACAGATACAGATAAAACGTGACCATAAAGATTGTACTTACCTCCTCACTTCCTTGATTCATTTTTTTTTCTCATTTAAGTTGTTTTCGTCTTTATTATATAGTATTACATTTATCTTAGTTTTAACTTAGATAATTTCAATATTTCACATTTATTTTTACTTAGTTACATTTATGTTTGTCGCGCATTTTCTTGATTTCATAAAAACTAAGTGATAAAACCGTTGGTACATAATTTGCGTTAGAAATAAGACAGATATATCAAGGCAACAAAAGATGCAACTGGGCAATGATTATTCAAATTTATTTGAACTGAACAAGCCTGTCGTAAAAATGCCACTAGTGCTTCTTTAAATACGTGTACTGATTCAACTAGGTATGGCTATACAATTTCGCTGTATATCCATTTCACAATGCAAACGTAATTTTTATTGAAAAACAGTTTTTGTGCGCTTTTGTACGTCTCCAACACAGGCTTTGAGAAAGACAAAGACAAACAAAAAACGTAAAACAGACATGGTAAATTCTTCGAATAAGGCCATATTTAGGGTATCTGGCCCCCTCCTCCACCTTAGATCTTCTAAAATAATCTGTTGGTGCAGCCTATGGTCATTAATATTATTAATAGTACGTAAGAATAACACCAATCCGAAATTTTAACACAAACTTTTAACGTATATGGTGTTGTCACGATATATTATAGACTTTTTAATTTTTAATAAAGATTAAAATACATTATGCAGTAAAGTTTAAACACAAAGTAACTGGAGAATTTAGCGGGCACTACGCGCGCTTGAAATTCAGGAAACATGCGCCATAGACCACAGTGAATTAAAACTATTTCAGCTCTCAAAAACGAAACGTTTTGTTGGCAGTATAAAAACACGGTTTTTAAAAGTTTTATTATTCGAAGAATTCGCCGCACAAAATCTGAAATTCGCCGAGCTTTATGAAAAGGTTCGCTGCTGCGTTTCGAGTCGTTCATTTGGATAAGCTAAAACAAAGAATAGCAGTAAATCCAACACGTATTGTCGATAAGGAAGGTTTATGGTGCAACCAGTGGCATTCACAGTTATAAAACGTGTGTCGCTATTGACTCTTTGCCAAATTCAAAACGTTGTTAAAGATGGAAATACAAGCAATATTTCTTTTATCCAAATTCATTTTCAAAGTTTAATTTAAATTTTTATTAGTTACTCTGTGCTATGAGGATTTAAATAAATTTTACTTTTTAAACAATAAGCTTAAATTAGGTACCAAATGTTCACACTAACATTTTATATTATTGCGTAAGGGCGCAAAAACTCTGAATTTCGCATGCAAATGTGGTTATTGTGGAGACGGCGCGGCAAATTGGACTCGTGAGCTTTTTACTTTTCATTGGATCTCTAAACGTTTTATTAACCATGTTCCTCTGAGCCTTATTGCGCTCTCCATTGCCAGCACACTTTCCTAAGACTTAAAAACTTCGCGAGCGGGAACTTTTTCATAATCTCGTTTGTGGATAAAGATTTTCATAGCACGCTGTTGTCTGAATGTTTAAAAATATATTGTATAATAACAATAATGGTTGATAATAAGGTTGATCGAAGAATTACTTAAAAAACGCTTATCCAAATATTGGCGTCGTCAGGTAGGGTACAGGGTGGAGTAGATTCCTTGCTCTAGAGAAACGAAACATGTGAAATAGGTGTAAAACTACATACTTAATTTTTATTAAAGTATTATTAGTAATAATTCTAACATTTTAAATATATTTATGTTATCAAAAGCCTTGGGTCGAGATCCAATTAAAAATTACTTTCAGTTCACGACTTTCTTATTTTTCGATTTGAAGGTCAGTTGAAGGTTAGGGAATATAAACGCAAGTACGAGTCAAGCTCGGAGAACATTTTGTATCTGTGCAATTAAAATAAAAACATTGTTCATTGTTTTGTTTCGACAACATTACTTTTATTATATTCCATTGTGATGAAAAAACACTTATAGTCTGGAGGCGAAACCGATCGTACCCGATTACCCGCCGATATTTTCCCGCCTTTCTTCAGCTGCCAAGTGTGTTGCGTGTCCAGAGATATTTAGGTCGTTGTCGGTTGTTTATATAAATTGCTCGAATATTATTAAAGGCTTGATACATTAATTTTATTTTTATTTACCACTCAAATCAAATCTTATTTCGCTACAGCTACCTTCATTACTCTCTCTCTTTCTCCGGATCTTTTCCTCGTTCCTGAGGGTCGCGACCGCTCTCCTGGACAATCTCTCGAAGGGTGTTTCTCCAGTCTGTGCGATTCTGGGCAAAATCGAGGGGAAGAGATCCAAAGGACGCCGCCCTATGCGCTGGACGGACAAAATATGCACCACACTCGACACCACTATTCATAACGCCATAAACGTCGCAGAGAATTGCACAGAGTGGAGAAACCTTCATTACTAGTTCTCGATTATATACAATTTTATAATAGGCGACAAGTTAAATTATCTCATTTCTTTCTTTTGAGTAAAGCATCGAAAAGCAAATTATCACAGGAAAATTTCACGTGTTTCGCGTTAGAAATGAACAACGTAGCAAAGCGCTACGCTCAATTGTAGAAAGCGCCTACGCTCAGCGTAGCACGTCTACAACAAAATGACTAGCTTTCTTTTAACCGATAATTAACTTTCATTATACAAAATTATTTTATGTGTAAGTTGTGCGGTCAGTTATTTCAGCACATCATTCATACACGTTCGTTGCATATTTCATCATAATCCCTCGTAGCCAGTAATAACAAGAATAAGGCGATAAGTGCCGCACCTCGTGGCTTGATGAATGAACCACCCACGTAGCGAACGAACGTAGATTAATAATAATATATAAGTCCGCTGACTGCTTCATATTTTGTAGTTATTGTTAAATAACTGAATAGTTAAGGCATTCACATGTATTTGACTGCACAAACTGGTCAACTGTAAGGTCGAAAATCTCAAAACGAAGATATTTTTGTCGACTTTAAGCCCGCTACAGTTAGCTGTCAGTTAAACTGTACAATTAGGGTTTTTCCTACACACGTTCAGTTTTAACTGAACGATTCGAATGTTAAATTAAAAATTTCAAAGAAAACTAAGCGTCTGTATAGGACTTTAATAACAGAGTGTGAACTAAAATAATTACACCTATGTTTTGATTTTTGTATCCTTGTCTTGATAAAGGTTTTAGTAATGATGCAAAGGATTAATTCAGATTAAGTCATCCTACTACTAATTGTTAATCTTCTTCAAGTTTTGTAAACAGTGTTAGCTTAACTGAATAAAAGTAACTAGTGTTTTTCTGACAGAGCTGACTACATTGTGCTGTGTGTATCGCGGTGCAGTGGACACGCGGCGGTGCGAGCCTCGTTTTTCAAATGTTTTTTTCTTTCACAAAGACTTGTTGGTTTTCTCGCGTTGTGTTTTTTTGCAAGCGCTGAGGACCCCCACTCGTTTGCTGGAGTTGTTTTAGTAAGGACTTAGAGGCGAGGATAATGTTGGAATTATTTATTTGATCTGGCAAAATGTATAGTACATCAGAGTTATTTTTGACCAAACGGTCTATTATTATTATTTTATTTATTCAGGATGCATTAATAAATCTTTAAGTACTACGTTTACTTAACAGTGAACTAATATTGTAAACTTCTTATTTCTTCATCTATTTTAGTTATTGTCCTTTGGTGATTGTTTGTGGTTGTTTTATTTCGTAAAAAAAATATAAAAATTTATATTCGGGGCAAATAAAACACGTGGTTCAAGCATCGCTGTAATTTTCGAGTGTCCCAGTGAAACTGTGCGAGGTGGGCAACGGCGGCCCTGTCAAGGGCGCTACGAGACTCGAGCGGCGGCCGCAGCCCGGACGAGGCCTTGAGCTCAATGCTCAGACTCACTGCTGCTCTCTCGCCGACGCCTGTGATGACACATCAGTATTGTTATCTAGATGTTAGCCATCTAATATATAATGATACCATAAAGAGATCGTAAGGTTTATCAAGGGGCAGGGCTCGGGTCGCCGCCGCGCGCACCTGAAGGCTGCGCAGGGCGGCCGGGGCGCCGAGGGGGTGCAGGACGGGGTAGCGAGCGGGGCCTGCGGGAGGCATCGCGCCTAGTCCCGCGCCGAGCGCTGCTCGGGCCGGCCGCGTAGTGTGAAGCAGGCCGCATGAGCGCGCCAGTGTGGTAGCGCAGCGTGCGCGGGTGTGGTATGCCCGCGCGTCGCCGCCATGGCCCCCGTCCTGGCGGCCTTGGCGCTGCTCGCCCTGCTGCCCGGTGAGTGACCGCGCGCAACAGGCCGCCGAGCCTTCGCGCCTCTGTTTACCCCTAAATCGATCGGCGCGATGATGCCAAGGTGTTGTGTTATTCAGGATGTGGTGGCGATGGTCAGGCGATGATGAGGTATGATAAGATTGACAGGTCCCTGGGCGGGCGGAGTGCGGCGTGCGGGGGCACGGGGGAGCAGGTAAACAAGGGCAAAGGGTTAGATGCGAGAGGAAATTAAGCGGAAAAATGTAAAGGGCGAGAAAATGTACAGATGACAGCGGCAGCTATTTTGGGGGAGATAAAAATATTTTCTTTGACGTTGAAAAAATACGAAAGCATAAAAATTTTGTACTTAAACAATAAAAAACTGTACTTTATAATGCAGAGTTGATTTCATTAGGATGTCTCGAGTAAGACATATAAGATAATGTGTAAGACATGATTGTTTCTTAACGATTCCACTAGAATCAAAGCAAGCAGGCGAGGCTGTATGACACGGTACCAATTTCACGCTCGAGGCGTGTAATCGAACAGATATTTTATGGTGTTAATTTCCACGGCGATTGCTTTTATGAGGAGCAATCTTTCTCATGTACTTATATATTGTTTTAAATATTTACACGATAATTTTATTAAATTTTGCGTTGAATGCTGCTTTGTTGAAATTAATTGT